AAAGATTGCAATAGTTATATGATTTTAGAAATAAAAAACAAAAATTAATATCAGAGTACGAAAGAACTTACCAATATCAAATGCAATGGCGTCAACTNTAATAAACATTAGTATGATGACAATACACAATAAGACACACAGGAAGGCTTTGAAGACCATGGAATGGCTCTGTTTAAACTGGTAGGCCACGTCAGTCTGCTGCTCGATTTCGATCTTCTTAGTCTTCTTCCCAGTGACTTTTCCCAAAGCCATATCGATACCGGTGTCTCCATCGCCTGCTGTCACAGATTTAGGAGTGCCCCCATCATCAACAATAATCACTCCAAGTTTAGGATCAACTTTTTGACAGGTGGTACCATCTGGTTGGTCTCCGTTGTCATGAATTTGTCCACCAGTAGCGCCATAAAATGCAAGATCTTCCTCACCAGTAGTTTGACCATTGGATGTAATCTGATCCTCACCGGATCCGCGTTTACTGAACGAGCTGACGGTTCCATATTTTCTCATCTTCAATCTAGTTCGGACTTCGTAATGGAGTAGCAAGAATCCTAAGTTAATGAAGAAGGCAATGATGGCAGGTATACCCAGATAAACGATACTTCTAACTAAAGTCAGGGTGCTGAGTTTGAACATTGGAACATCAGTTCTAGAAGCAATCAGGGCCATTTGTGGATTTCCAAAAATAGTTGTGACGCTACCAATGTTAGCAGACGTGGCGATGGCCAACAACATTGTCTGCAGCTCAGAAGACTTTCGTTTCTGCTTTTCCCAATACTTCAAGAAGATTGGGGTAAGGACAACACAGGCTGCGTCGTTTGTGAACAAAGCTGCGAAGATGAACGTGACCAAGCTCACTCTCCAGATGTAGTTCGCAAAGGAATGGGATTCTTTTAGTACCATTTTTAAAATCTTTCCAATCATTTTCTCTCTTTCAAAGAACTGGGCCAGCAACATCATTCCCAGTAGCAAAAAGATCGTCCTGAGATTCTCTGTTTCCCCAAGAAGATGGTAGACATCCTGTTGCGTCAAGACTGTGGTAATAACCATTAAAGCTGCACCAGTGAGGACGGAGGTCGTGGTACCGATCGGGAAACATCGGACTTCGAATAGGACGAAGGGTAGCACAAGAAGAAAGGACAAGCTACCAGCAACGACTTTGGTCGTATCAGCTAGGGTATAGTCTAAGGTGAAGTGGCTGCCCATGGAATGGGTACCATTGTAATTGAGGCAGATGAGTTCTGGGGGTACGGGTGGTCGGTGTAGAGATGGTATTGACGTTGTATTAGCAGCCATATTTTGGATCTTGGTCGACGGCTTGACTTGCACACTGGATATCTGTAATAATAATTTAATTCAAATCTAACAAATTAAAACGAAATTTCAGAGAGTCCATATGCATTTAGCATATTCGGATTCTTGAAAATTAACTGTGTGAACTCTCTGAAGGGGATACATGGTTGACAAACCTAACTACAGAATAAATATTATTAACTATTTGAACTCTGTGAAGGAGATACATAGATTTCAAACATAAAGTGTTTAGATGACATTCGGTGTTAATGTGGTTTTATAATTTGCATTCGAGTTGGTAGTTGTTATATAAATAAACCTCAAAATAAATAATGACTTACAATATGGGCTCAAAAGAATTTATCGGTCAATAAATTCAATAAAGATAAAGTTTTTAAAATGTGGATACATAAATATGTAATGTAGCGTGGTCTTGTACAAAAAGGTATATTAAGGCCATGCTCACTTTTCCACAACACTGTAGCCCTCTGCGATTGGGTTGTCAAATTAAGATGTAATGTAGTCTTGTACATACAGTACTTGCTATAAGCCAGTTCTTCTACAAAGGACAATTTGTATTGTTTTTGCCTTGAGCATTTAGTATTTGTAATACTCTTAGCCATAAAGTGTGCACTTTGCCTTTATGGTAAGCATGCTCAATAAAAATCGTTCAGAATATTACCACATATCAAATATAAAAAAAATGTTATTAGCCATGTGAACCCTCCACAGCGAATTAAATGCCATCAAATGTGATGTGTGACATAGGGTAAAACCTTTTCAATTTTTGTCACGTTATAACATTTCAAATTACATTTTTCACAACTTTTACTACACTGTGGTCTAACCTTTCGCAGTTGGCCACCAAAATCTAACGGATGTCAATTCATGGGGATTGACCATAATATAAAAGATGAGATTAATGAAAACAAAATAATTTTGAAGCGACCACATCCTAATCCTAAGAATATAATAGTAAAATAAAATAATTACCTTTTAAAGTGGAGGAGAGCCTTTAGATCAATTTCCAAAGAACAAGTAATCCAAGACCGAAAAATTTAAATCAAAGTTACTTTCGAAGAAAAATGCCAAACAAGCTCCAAGGTGTGAATTAGATAGTTGAAAACGAAGTGAAATATCTAAGCAACATCTTGAGAAAGTTTATGAAAGTTAAAAGAGTTGTTTGAGTTTAAATATAGCTGCAATGTCTTTTGTTTCTGTCATAATTTTAAAATTAAGCATTGTTTTCCCCATGCTTTACATTAAAACTCATATAACTTACAAGGTTTTTGTTCAAATTTTCATTCAATTAACTTGTTAAAATATGTGACGAAATAATGTATCTTTGTTTTTGAGTGAAAAAGACGTAGAATGTCAAGTTTTTGTTAAGATATGAGCCATTTTACTAGAATATTGTTTATTACGAACCCAGAAGTGAAATTTCATGGAAAAATTTATCTTTTTGTGTCCCTAATCCCATTCCGGCATATTTGTGTCGGCGTCCTTTGAAGTTTCTTCATAAATGTCTTTATTTAATGAATTTAATGAAAAAGGAAGAAAATTCAAATTTAAACAATACAAAGAGGAAAGTGAAAAGTGACCACAATTTTTCTTTATTTCATGAAATCATTGTTAAATAACAAGAAAGCAGCTTCTGACATACTTTTCGAAATTATTTTGATTTTTTGTGATTTTTTCGGCGGGATATCACTAAACTCTAAAATTTAATCCACTGAGTTTTCAAATCGTCTCGTAATTTTGGTGAAAGGGGTGAATTATTTCGTGTTTTTATAACTACATGTATTCAAAGCGTATTATTAGATAACAATTGCGGTTGAAGACAGGGCGACGTTTTTGTGCCTTCATCGTTAATGTATTGTGTTAACGTATTAAGGGTTTAAACTAATATCTTAATACAATTTTTGTCAAAAAATATTTTCAAGAAAAGAAAAGGATATAAACTGTTTATCATATTCGAAGATTTTGATTGTAAAAAAAATTCTTTCATATCACTTATTTTAATATATTATTAAAGTTTTGGCATAGAAGTGCTGCAGGAATATAAGTATTAGTATAGCAGCACATATGTATATGCCCAATGTGCTCATGGCTCTATGGTAGCCAATTTTACATTGCAGAGGTTTTGTCAATATGTACTTGGTCTTTTCAATGTATTTCACGCTAAACTTTGAAATAATGAATAGGGACAATTGTATTTGGACATGCAATTGGTCTTTGACAATGACCTTCCTCACATTTTCAAACAGTTCATCTTATGTTTCTTTGCGGTTCAGGTGATCTTTTCATTCGCCAAAAAGGGCAATCTGGTTATTTTTTTTTTCTAGATAGACATTCTAAGAATAAAAGAAATACTCTTTCGAATCCCTTTAACGCTTTTGGATAACGTTTTTTAAAAATAAATTCTAATGAATTCATATCTTAAGATATGTGTACAAATCTTGCATTTCATTATCCCTCTCTTTATCTATATTCATTTAAATTCCATGTAATTCAATATTTATAGGTTAAAGGATTTTGAATACATTTTAAATGGTCTTGGATATCGTACACGGTGAAAAGATATGAATTTTTAATTTTCAATTTGAATAAATGAATTAATGAAAATATCAAATTAACTTAAATGTAAATGATTAGTGAGAATAGAGAGAAGAGTTAAGTATTTTTGAATAATTTGACGTATATAACGTATACTCAAGTTTCTAAGTAAACTTATATCCAATCCTATAGTTTTTCCTATCCATTTTTTGTATTTGAATAATCCTAGAGCTAACCCTGTAGCAAGCTATGCCATAAACTATAGCAAGCTAGAGAGACAATCTAGATAAAGCTATATCATACACTATAGCATGCTATAGTAACAATCTAGATAAAGCTATATCATACACTATAGCAAGCTAGAGTAACAATCTAGAAATGAAATGAAATGAAATGAATGGAGTTTTACGTCCTACTTTTCTGCACCATGTGGGCTAATGCAGACGGGCGACGCCATGCAGGGTCTCGGTTTATTGTCCCATCCGAACGACTAGACGCTTTTTCCATGTCAGCCCCTCTTACCTGCATCACTGACAGGGGGAAACCGGGTTGAAAAATCCGAAGGTATTATCTCGACCTATGCCGGGATTGAACCCTGGACCTTCAGGTTAGCGAGCAAGCGTCTAACTCACTGAACCACCGCGGCTCCCGAGTAACAATCTAGATAAAGCTATATCATACACTATAGCATGCTATAGTAACAATCTAGATAAAGCTATATCATACACTATAGCATGCTATAGTAACAATCTAGATAAAGCTATATCATACACTATAGCATGCTATAGTAACAATCTAGATAAAGCTATAGCATACACTATAGCAAGCTAGAGTATCAATCTAGATAAAGCTATATCATACACTATAGCATGCTATAGTAACAATCTAGATAAAGCTATATCATACACTATAGCATGCTATAGTAACAATCTAGATAAAGCTATATCATACACTAGAGAGACAATATAGATAAAGCTATATCATACACTATAGCATGCTATAGTAACAATCTAGATAAAGCTATATCATACAATATAGCATGCTATATTAACAATCTAGATAAAGCTATATCATACACTATAGTAAGCTAGAGTAACAATCTAGATAAAGCTATATCATACACTATAGCAAGATAGAGAGACAATCTAGATAAAGCTATATCATACACTATAGCATGCTATAGTAACAATCTAGATAAAGCTATATCATACACTATGGCGAGCTAGAGTAACAATCTGGATAAAGCTATATCGCACTCTATTGCAATCCAGAGTAACAATCTAGATAAAGCTATATTTCAACCTATGTCAATCTAAAGTAACAATCTAGATAAAGCTATATTTTATCCTATGTCAAGCTAGAGTGGCAATCTAGATAAAGCTATATTCAACCTACGTCAGGCTAAAGTAACAATCTAGATAAAGATATATATTATCCTATGTCAAGCTAAAGTAACAATCTAGATAAAGCTATATTCAACCTACGTCAAGCTAAAGTAACACTCTAGATAAAGCTATATTTTATCCTATGTCAAGCTTGTGTAACAATCTAGATAAAGCTATATTTTATCCTATCTAGATAAAGCTATTTTATATCTTATGCCAAGCTAATGTAACAATCTAGATAAAGATATAATTTATCCCATGGCAAGCTTGAGTAACAATCTAGAAATCATACACCATGGCAAGTTAGAGTAACAATCTTGATAAGCTAATATCTTACCCAATAGCTTAGATGCCATGGGCAGTGCTATTTAGAGACAGTCCGATGTAAACTCTCGATTCATTTCCCCAAGCTCAAGCGTCATATCATGTGCTTGAGTAATAAATGATCTAATGATGACATCAACTAGTTTATGAACGGATATGAGTAAAAATATTAACCTCGTTGCTGAGCAAACCTAAACCTTGCCAACAACGAGTTATCATCCCTGGCGGAATCGTTCGAACTTCTGATGACGTCTTCAATGTCATCATCCAGTACATGAACGGATCTACTCGGTCTGTGCTTTTGTAATTTCAATCAACAAAAGAGTTATACTGAAATTGTCTGATTATCATGTACTTGTGATCCATATAGATCAGCGCTTGTTATGCATTGCGTTATAGTTGATGACGTCATCAGCTAGCGTATAGCGGATATGACGTGTTAAGTGTTAGAAGTGCTGTAGCAAATTTTACACCACACAATCGTTATAGCTATATCATGTACTTGTTATGTGTAGCAATATAATGGGATTAGCAGTGGTATATTATTGTGGTAGAAAAAATACCGAGTCTCCCCGGGGAAACATTTCACGACCCTCACGTTCTTACTTTAACATTTCTTAACTTATTTTCAGTTTTACAATTCTAAACACATTGTCATTCGTTCGTGGACGCCAGGTTTTCTCTCTACTTCCTAGCAATGGCTTTTATTTCTTTCTTCTCAAAGACATTCAACTGGATTAAATGCAATGTAAAATTATCAAGTTTATGTATATTTTGTATCCCGCTGTTATCCAGCCGTTATAATGAAAATTTTCTCTGGGCTTTCACGAGAAACCGGTTGGTCCTTTTCATTTGACATGAAACCAAATGAATCAAACTGGATAATACTTATATTACTTATATGACCATGAAGTGTACAATAAGGGAAATCTTCACAGATTTTGGTTTTTTAATTTTTGCCTTGTAAGCCTTGCCTAAGCCCGAACCCCGGGTTTCAAGGTTTAATAATATTATGTATTGTTGTTGACTGCTGAGTGGTTGGTTCTTTAAATCATCATGAAAAAGGACAGCCAATGTTTAAAACATTTAATAAATAATAAATACACCTAGTTTTTATTTTAAAAAAACTGACATTAACAGCTCAGCTTTAATAACACCAAAAAACTGCCTGGAAATAATATTATGTTAATAGAATTTCAAGTGCACTGATTGTCATTTAAAGCGATTTATAAGTTGTGTTTTACGTCATCAAAAATATCAAGTTGTGCTTTACGTAATCAAATTAAACGTTGTGTAGGCTACTACGTCATCAACATTGTAAGCTTCGATTGACGTCACCAATGTGTTAATTTACGTCACTTACACGCCATAAGTTGTGTTGTACATAATCAAAGTTGTGTTTACATCCGTGCTCTGTGATCAATATGATAAGCTATGTTTACATCACAAGAACACGATTACGTCATATGAAGCAGACGCTAGCATGGATGTATTGGCAAAAACAGTAGACCAAACTACTTTTTTTTCAAACGGGAAAGGCAAACTGCGGTGACAATAGGGAATAAGCAAATTGGCTTTTAGACAGAAATATTGGTTATTCTGGACAATTAATGGCAGAATGGTGTAGAAGTGACATTGTTACTTAGATTTTACGTCTAAGAAGCAGGAACATACATTTAAGCCTATTAACTTTGAATCATGCCTTTGTCTAATCTAAAACAGCTCATATATAGGCACTGGGTAATGATGTAGATTTGCTTTTGTAATATTCGCGAATTTTTCCAATGAAGATATAAGAAGTCAAGCTCTTGCCATGAAACACAAAAACACAGAGTTACCAAAGAATTCAAAACACGAATTAAGTAGCTTGTTTTTGGTTCTGGTCTATACAAAAGACCCGTTCAGGGCAAACGATGCCTTTAATATAACTGACAAACATCCATTGCAATTAACACCGAAAATCTTCTTTACAGCATTATTGTAACCACAAATTCCATGATATCGTCTGCGACTTAAACGTAAAATTTCACTTCTGACTCGGTCAAATCCTTGAATAAATCGTGCACTTCGTCTAATTTTGTTTTATCAAAGTTTTGTAGATATTCTGATACGTCTAAAACACACTGGATCTCTAAACTTTTCATAGTTTGTAACAGACGTTTACCATTCGGCGTTCCTTCCTCCATGAGTTTTCTCCCTTTCTCATGAGCTTTAAAAAGAGTGTGGCGTCGATCTGCTACGGTTTGGAACGTTGGTTTGCCGTCGTGTGCTGGTGCTATGGTGACGTCACCTATTACCGGCTGGTCTGAGAATATAAATGGTTTGAAAACAGATAGGCTTGGGTTTGGTGTTCCAGTGAACCAATGTACGTCAGGAACCATTGAGCCGTTCTGTGGTTGTAACACAGAAACTTGACTCGCCATTGTTACCAGCTCGCCACTAAAGTTGATACTGCTGGGTTCATTTCGTAAAATTTGGAACATGTTGTGTTGTGAGAATTCATCTGAAACGATAAAATATAACATAGGCTTGTTAGTCGAACACTGGCTTGTTAGTCGAACATAGGCTTGTTAGTCGAACATAGGCTTGATAGTCGAGCACATAGGCTTGTTAGTCGAACATAGTCGAGCACATAGGCTTTTTAGTCGAACACATAGGCTTGTAAGTCGAAAACATAGGGGTGTTGGTCAAACACATTGGGTTGTTCGAACAAATAGGTTTGTTGGTCAAACACATAGGTTTGTTGGTCTGTAAAACATGGTCAGATCTAATGTCTATACCAGTTGAGTCAAAATTGGACTATACAATTAATACAAGCATAGAAACTCAGAATAATTTGGGAGGGGTATATCTGACAGATTTTCATTAACTAAATTCCGCGAGCGCCAGCTTGGCAAAACTATATCGTCCATCTATACTTACTTGGCTTTGCTATAGTTTGTAATAATTCTTTCCCTTGGGCTAGTCGATTCTCGGCCTTTTGTTGATCCGATAGAGAGAGACCAGAGAAAGCGGCGTGAAAGGTTTTATAGAAATTCAGTTCGCCCGATTCTGGTTTATAAAACCCAGCCTTCTCTGCCTTTTCCTTCAGACCATCTGAACAGAGATCGTAATCTGTTTCTATAGTAAGTATACTGGAGATGTTCTCAGTTCCTTCTGTAAGAGAGATATATATAGAAGCACTGAGTTTTGCGTCCGGCTTATCTGCATCTGAAGTTCATGTCTTGTTCCACGAAAGAGAATTGGGCCCTACTTTCAACCAGTATCCCAGTATGATGAAGCTTACACGTTAAGAAGCAATGTTTTAAATAGCAATGGATGAAAGATATTAAAAATGAATAACTACAGACCACAACATTATTGACGTCATCAATGAGTGTTAGTTCCCTTTGACTGGTAATGACCAGAAGTTGAAAATAATGATGCAGTTCTCGAATTTACAAAAAAAGCTAGCGAAAACTTTAAAATGGGGGCAAGTGTTGATCTAAATCGATTGGTTCTGCATTTATAATTTTTATTATAAAAGCGTAGCCTAGTAACGCCGTGATTTGTTACTTTTAGATCGAAAAAATTTCGCTTAGATCTTGTTCTTCTGAAAAATCTTTATTTTATCCACACTTAATTAAATACCCCCGAACTGATATGAGAAACTTACGTGTTATTTTTTTGGCGACCCAATACTGACCGGCAGTATCCAGCTTCCAAGCTTCATGTCGATCAGCGAATAGAAAGCTGTTATTGTAGGTCCACTGTCCGAAATTAGGATCTTCACAACTATGTCCACCTTGTCCGTACTTCTCCAGCAGCTCCGTTACTATCAACATGGCTTCTTTAGACGACTTTCCCCGCTCTAAACATAATCTAGAAAATATAAGATAGTACATTATCAGCCATATGGATCTTCTGAAAGGTTAATTTTGAAAATAATATTCATTGTCGCGGCTTAAATACTGTCTACTCCGTAATCGATGTCCAATTGTTTGTGAACCTCAGATGTCTACGGTTCTAATATTTTCTTCAGGGCCAAAAGCAGGGTTTCAACGGTTTATTGAGCCGAGGTGACAAGGATATGCTTGGTACCATGGCTGATTTCTGTGATTGTAATTTGACAAAACCTGATCAAACATTAATGTTTTTTCAGAATAATATAAGGAAAACAAACAAACGATAACAAACCTTACTAAATCGACGCCCAATAATTTTTCATTATGATCCCCAGGTGTACAGAGTTTGGTCCATACGGAGGTGTTACCAGCACACACTCCATGTTCATTGGCCCCCATCTCGGCACCCCACGTCCATGCTGCTTTACTGAGAACCACCCCACTGATATGAGTTACTTGGTCGATTTCCATAAAGGTACACTGCAAGGGAATAAATGAACGAAGGTAGTTACTGTAAACAAAAGACAAAATACGTGGAAGATTAGAATTAGAACAGTTTTTTCTCTCTCTTGGCACCAAAAACTCTGCAGGTGAAATAAACAAATTTTGTCTGTTACACTTCGGTAAACTTTATCGCTTAACAATTGAACCTAAACTTGATATATCAGCCTCGAATCTCAAAATAAATTTAAAACACATGTTAAACAGATACGATTTTCTTTTTAGAATTTATGTTGTTTATGAACCAAATACTCCCATTATGTAGGTTATCTTAAAATCCTTAAAGAAATTCCAGAGAGACTTTCTGTGGTTCCTGTGTTCCAGAAAATTTAAACCAGATTACTTTTACCAAGAGAAATGTCTTTGATTATCAAATATGGGTAGCATCATCATCCTTATTATTATCATCATTATCATTATTATTATCATCATCATCATTATTATCATCATCATCATTATCATGACAATGCACTAACAAACATCATTATCATTATCATCATTATCATTATCATCATTATCATCATTATCATCACTATCATGACAATGCATTAACAAACATCATTATCATTATTATTATTATCAGTATCATGTATCAACAAGCATCATTATCACTATAGTGACATTTTTCTCCAATTAATGGAGCAACAGAAACCGCAAATCTGATATTTCATTTGGTCTATATATCCAGAACGAAATGAAAAAGTCAAAGTCCATAAATTCAAGATGGAAATAAATCACAAAAACAAGTGTCAACAGAAAAGGTAATCACTGTATCGAACTTACCTTAACCTTTGACCCTTCAGGGTTATCTTTTGGCGAGCAGTAGACGATCTCCTGTACTTCAGACGGTGGACGATCGGCATTTTTACCAAATATGACCGTACCCCCTGTTGCTGGAGGCAGGGCAACGAATATATCCGACATTTTGAGCTGGTTTGGTTGAAATCAAACCGAAAATCGATTTTCAATCACCTAGCTGAAACACAGAAGAACATTTTAAATAATGCGGTTAGAAAATCTAGAATTTGTCAAATAAATGTTTGTAGAATAGAAACCCCAGAACATATGAAATCAACAAACAAAACGTGAAGTATAAAATTTTAAAGAAGACCAATATTCACAAAGCCAAGTAGGCTAAATCCAAACTCATAATCAAGGCTTTGAATTCCACTCACACTCAAGCTAAGGAACAATTCTGACACCACAGCTTGTGCTTTCGAGAGTCATATCGATGTTGTGTTGAAACCCTTTCTATTGTCTCTTTAAATCAACCTAAAACCCTCACTAATTATTGTTCATTCTAAGTTAGTTAATTATCGTCAAAACAAAATTCCATTTGATGAAAATTAGTCACAAGAATGTAGAACTATAGACACACAGCCAAAATAAATTGATGGTGAGGTATATTTGCCGAGTTGCCAGTCTGGTTTTTAAAAAAAGCATACCTTATCACATTATATGACTTGAAATTTGGGCGTGTGAGTGGTGGGGCGTAGTTAAACCCAATAGAACGTTTGAAATCTTATGACATCATAATGAAGAAACTCAATTGTTTATTGTGGAGATGAAGAGCTTATGTGATTGGTAATTGGTTTGGCGATTAGGTGCTGTTGGATTGAATACTCCTTTAGAGAAGATGAATTCTGTTTCCACGGCCATTGCTTCAGAGAGCCGACTTAGTGTCTTTCAATCCTTGTCAACCTTTGTCATCTGAGTTGCTTCGAATTGCTTAATAAGTGACGAAATTGATTGTTATGTGCTAGTAGGTCCTGTGGTTTCGATACCCCTTCAAGCATTTCAAAATTATGATGCCACGGATTGTGCTTTTGAGAAACGGCGGTTAAAGACTTGCAAACTCTAAGACTAATATAGGTTAAAATGTAAACTTTGGCAAGAATTTTTCTTTGTGTAAAATCAATAACATAAGTTTCAAACATTCCAGAGCGATGACTGTATAGTCATATGTTCAAATACACCTTATTATCATATTTATCATATTTTCAGTCACACATTATGAATACACAAACTCAGTGAGAGATATCTGGTGACCGAATACTACAGAGAAATAAAATACATTCAAATTCTCTGCTCCTGCTTGGGCTAAGGTATCTCTAAATGTGATATTTCTTAAGCTGTGGATAGACTAGGTACGTTGTTCAGTATGGTTTATGTTGTCGTGTCGAAACAGTCCGAAGGAGTACATGACACTATTGTACATTCCAGTATGTCGACATTTGCCAATACCGAACTGTACACCCATACCTTATACCTATATTCCCACCTATTCATTTATACAGTAAACATACATACAAATAATCGATGGTGCGTTATGAATCCAGTTGCTCTCAAATCAAGAAAAACACAATATGTATATCTTATATAAACAAGAATATACGTAATTAGTCCAATAATGTCACATGACAAATCTAATAATTATAACTGACATAATCAATCAAAACTTTAAATACATGAAAGTGGAGGTATTGGCTGGTTAATGAGTTTATTTCAAAATATGTATTTTATTCCACGAGTTTTCGTTATCGCCAGGTGTTGTTACGTGTTATTTTCCAAATCATTTCACATTCCGTCTCTAAAATACTTTAGTTACTCTTAAAAGGTGTCGTCTTAATTCTTTTATTATACAACAACTTAGAGTGGTACGGCATTACTTTCAATGTAAATTGGTAGTTATATGAATACAATCTTGTTCGAACTTGGTCGTCAAACAAAACAAAATACATGAATTTTTAACATAATTCCATAAACAGTGCCGACAAAAGCAGGTTGATTTCTGGGCGATAGCCCATATAATTATAGGCTATATTTCAATAGTTAAACAGACACCCGAGAACGAACTGTACCGTATTCGGATTTGACTCATAATTTTCTGGTTATTTAAATGGTCGTGGATTCTAATCACGGCCAGCGTCTGAAAGTCTGGTGACTATAGATTATAAGGTTATCTCTCCTCGTGTTTTTCAGTTAACCTAGCTTTAAATTAGTACAGATAATACAGGAAATACCAAGCGGTCTGACTACCTGGTGGAAAGGGGTTCGGTGAGAGAACAAAAGAACAAAATAATCTCAAAAATATATTGACAAAGCAAAAATAAATGTAATGTATTCTAAATGACAATATTGCATGATATCAGGCTAGGAAAGATTCTGTAGAATTATTCCGAGTGGGCGATCTATTTCTGACTAGTAATCAATATTCTAGATGGAGAAATCTTCATGTATATGACTGTTTTGTATTCTACCAACACTGAAATTCTTACACTTATTCATAGACGGTCGTTCCGAGAAGTAAAGGAGGGGCGGGGGGGGGGGGGGGTGGCTAGTAATAAAGAGGGTTGATGAAGGGGACGGGCATGGAAGGACTGTGGCGCGAAAGGGGAAAATGCTAGAAATAAGATACCATTCATCGACGGGCCAATAAATGGACATTAAGAATCCCGAGTTGGACCAGATTTAAACATTCTGCAAGAGAGATATTTCGGCGTATATAACTGTTTACTATTCTTTCATCACTGAGATAATCATGTCATAGAAGGAGGTTCGGAGGAAGGGGAGGGGGGGGGGAGGGTTGGTCAAGGTTAGAGGGGGATATTCTACAAGGAAGATATCTAAAAAGTCAGAGTTTGCATACTATGACGTCCGCGTTATAAAAATGACTTAAATTAAACCGTGCATTCTGTTTATACAAGAATTGATAGAAAATTAAATTGAATGAATTCTTGTTACAAATTCCTATTGAATCTTGATTTCTATTCCATATTTAACTCTGTTTATATAAAAGTTAGAAGATGGGAAATTGAATAAAATGAATTCTTGGGATAAATCCCAGTATATTAAAACCTCTAGTCTGGCTGGTAAATGTCAAGCTTAATATAGCATCTACAATGATCACCAGCAGATATATATTTGTAAACTTGTTTATTCATTATATCGTTCACTTGGACACAAGACAGAGCTTAAAGATCTTGTTTTATGTAGTAAGACGCTCGCTCTCTAATCTAGTAGTCCAGGGTTCGATACAAGCAAGAATCAGTTTATTAAACTCAGTTTCTCCTTGTTAGTGCTGCATGTCGGAGGGTCTGACACTAAATAAATTCTGGTCGCCCACATAAACATTTAACGAGGTCCTGAGTGATACAGATTGTGAAATTCTGCTTTCGTAGCGAAAATCATTGCCCATTGCAGGGTGTGGCATGTCTTCATCAACCTAGGCAGGAGATAACAGGGTTTAATTTATTAGTGCGATAAGAGTCCGAGAAAAAGAAGTAAAATTTCTATTCATCCGAACTCTCTGTGAAATAATATCGATATTGACTGATTTATAAACAGTATTAGATCTCTTTATACTCATAAATCAACAATAATACATTATAGACTTTAAGTGAAATATCTCTACAACTTATTGACAACTCTTCTATCCAGTATAAGATCTTTATACTGACAATATAAATATTATAGTCGAGGTCACCATGACCCGACTTGTGACGTCAAACATTCTATATATATTGTAATTAAAGATACACTGGGGTCAAGCTGACAGTTTCCTACATTTGCATTCCAGGATAAATTCTATTTCATTGTGAAAAATGAAATGGCGTTTTATGTTTTCTACATAATTGGGCTACTAAAAACCGGCAACGCAAGAAGTGTGCAATGAAGGAATGTTTGCCAAGCCACATCCGCTCCCCCAAAAAAGGCGAAAACCTTTTTTTCTTTATACCATTTAATGTAATATCAAAAGAATACTGTTCCAAAATGCATAAAATGCCCTTTATTTTACTCCCTGAAGTTATGGTTAAAAAAAAAATTGGCATTTACCCCTCCATATGCATGGTTACGCAGCCCCCACTGTTACCAGGACAGTTGCAGTGACCTGTTCTTTTTGGTTTATCGAGGCATCTTTTGTCAGTCCCTTGGATATTAGGTTTATTGTAAATCAAGGTCATCTCGCCCCATGCTAGGTTTGCCATCTCGCTAATGAAGCTCTGTGTTCAAATGAAATATTAATGATTTAATAGAAGGAAAGTTGTAGTTTGATTGATGAATACAAGTTTTATATCATTTCGAAAATTATCGTGCAAATTGTTTCAGATCGCATAAATATCCATATTTAGTATACAGCATCCATCATTATATCAGAATATTACAACAGAGGACGTCACAGTGAGCACCAAGCCAACTGTAATATTATTCATTTTTCATCATCGATTTAATAAATCCATATTAAAAGATAATAGCTAAGCTCATGGTTAACTTTATCCAAATAGTTTCGTATAGGGTCTTGCCAGTCAAAATGATCTTTTTTCATAATAGGAGGGTGTTCGCAGTCTACATAATTTTCATGAGTTTCATGCCTATGTTCATATTTACAAAACGTAAACGGGATGCACACGTGTTTATAGGCAAATAATAACGTGACATCGTGAATATGCAGAATATGCATTATCTCGGCTCTTGATGACAGGTTTAACTGAAAAAGTGTAACACGGAAGAAATATGTGCTCAGGACGATTCGTTCAAATGCGCACCACTATCAGCAACAGATACTCATTGAAATTCGAAAAAAGAACCAACTTCCTTTTATTTCCTACTAATTGACTTTTAAGTTAGTTTAAGTGATGAAACCAATTTAGAAATGCAAGACAGTAGTGATGAATTAAGATATAGAGATACGATAACAAAATATTTTCACTGTTAAAATAGAGCGCAATACATCAATAATTGTACAGCGATACAGATATCTAGATATACCGTTGTATTAAATAGGAAATAAAAATAATTAACTACATGTATCAATAGTGAACACTTGTTTCTGTTGGGGTTGAATTGATTTCCTTGTATCAATATACTCCTAAAGACTTGTAGGCCCTATCAATTCACAGAGTAACGCAATCATACATGTTCTG